CTCCTTAACTTTTGATATCCAATGCTATTGCCATATAGACAGTGTAAGAATTGAGTTAAATTTGTGGACACCCAGTTGGTGTCTGCTGAAAACTAAAGAATTACTTGATATGGAGGAAACCAATTATCTGGTGCCAAAAGTATTGAGTAGAGGAGAAAAAGTTTTCCCTTACAACTCTCCTTTTAGAAGATCCAGTTTATGAACAGCCAGATTGAGACCTAAAACAATGCATCAGTTTAACCAAAAGATGTCATACCTTTCAAAGAACCTCTATGTAGCATGTTTCCTCGGCATATTCTAAAGGAGTCTTCTGATTAAAACTCTACCTACCACTTTTTCAGAATTTCATCCAGTTAAGTCAAGTGCAGCATTCCCATGGGACCAAAAAAAAAACTCCTAACTTTCCAGGGGAAGAAAGTGAGGCCAGGCCATGTGACCTGCTCAGGAACTTGGGTAGCTGCAATCCTGTGTCCTAACTACTAAACCAGTGCTCTTGCCCAAGTCCATCGTTTCTGTATTCTCACTTTAAACAATTATTCTGGTGAATTTTTTTCCACTTAGACCTCACCTTACCAAGAAAATGGTAACTCAACTGAACCCTGCAAGACACAGCCCTTGAGAAATCCAGAGACAAAGGCATTTAGGACAGCTGCTTTACAACAAGAGGAACACCCAAGTCCACCATGCAGTTAGATGGGAGAACAGGCCCTCCAGGCTGGAGCTGGCTGCACTCTTTCCAGCTATGTCACCCAGGGGGTGTCCATCTTCACCAGCTGTCTTGCTTAATTATCCTGGCTTGTTTACCTTTAGAAAAACAGCAATCAAAAAAATATTTACTTTTGCCCGTGCCAGTTTGGCTCAGTGGTTGGCCTGTGGACCAGAGAGTCCCAGGTTCGGTTCCCGGTAGGCTAGGGGCACGTACTAAAAAAAAATATGTACTTCCTCCTCACTGATAGAACAACATAATTGTTCATGTTTCTCAAGAGTGAAGCAAAAATTACATGTGGCTATATAATAAGAAACATTCCAGGATCATCTTTCTTTGGGTTTCAAATTCTTCTCATTATTTATAATCCCTCTGCATTGGAAGAAGGCAGTTTTATTTAAAAGATTAATTGATCTGCCGGAAGTCAGAGTTTGAGCTGTATCTCATCCCCTTATGAATCTTTGTACAGTTTTCTTGGGACCACATACTGCTATTCCCAACCATTAGGGACCAAAGAGAAAAGGCTTAATAATTAAGTCCGGAAGGTCAGGATTTTTCAATATCAGCACTATTGATCCTTTGGACAGAATAATTCTTTGTGTGGGGAGCTGTCCGGTACACTTTAGGATGTTTAGCAGCATCTCCGGGTTCTACCCATCAGATGCCAAGAGCAGCGTCCCAGTTGTTATAACAAAAAATGTCTCCAAATACTGCCAAAAGTCTCCTGGGTAGCAAAATTGCTCCTGGTAAAGAACCATTACACTACACATATAACACACAAATATTTGGAAGCCATCACCAAAAAGGGAAACTTTAGACTAAAAAGAGAAAACAAAGAGAAGTCATAATACTCTTTAAATATCTGAAAAGTTTTCATATAGATGGGGGAACAAATTTCTTTTTTTTTTCATCCTCACCCGAGGACATTTTCCCATTTTTTGTTCAGATAGAGCGGGAGGGAGAGAGAGGAAGAGAGAGAGAGAGAAAAACATCGACGTGAAGGGACACATCGAGTGGCTGCCACCCGCACGACCAACCAGGGCCGGGGACAAACTGCAACCGAGGTATATGCCCTTAGCGGGAACCGAACCCAGGTCTCTCTGTACCGCAGGCCGACGCTCTAACCACTGAGCCAAACCGGCCAGGGCAGGGGAACAAATTTCAGATGCCAGAGAGCAGAACTATTCCCAGTGGGTAAAAATATACATGATAAAACCAGCTAACACTTATTCTTCCTCTATGCCGGGCACTATTCAGTGCACTCTGAAGTGTTATTTCATTTAATCCTCACAATAACTCTATGAGGTCGGTAGTAATGGCCTCACTTTACAGATGATGAAACAGGGTCAGAAATGTTAAAGAATTTGCCCAAGGTCCAAGAGCTAATAGCAAAAACAGAACCAGGATTCAACCTGAGGTCTAATTCTGAGCCCCAGCTTTTAACCATCTTAACCATAAGACAAATTAAGGATTCTACCTCAACAAATTCTTAAAGAACTCTTTGACTTAAAAGCTGTTTCTTTCACCTACAATGAATGATCCTTGCATCCACCATCTCAATCCTATCTGTCCAGATAAGAAGCAGATCCAGAAAACCTTCCTTCATAACCTCCAGGGAAGTCTTGCTCTTACTCCAATGAGCCCCTTTCCAACATTCAGCTCTTCGTACTCCAAGTTACTCAAACCACTCTGTCAAGCTCTTCCTTAGAAAACTCCTTAAGAGTGGGGTAACCAGCTTCTCACATTTATACCCCTCACAAAGCCTTGCACCTATTGGGGCTCAATAAACCTTTTCTGAATGACCATGCCCCCCATACACACACACACACACACACACACACACACACACAGCCCACACCACCAGCAGGAATGTTTAAGCAAGCACTTTTGAGAAATGTAATTCTTGCATGTAAGCTGAAGATTTTACTGGAAATGCTCTGAGCTTTCCCAACTCTCAAAATGAGTTCAGACAGGGAAGTCAGAAAGGGAAAGATGACTGGTAACACAGCCCACTGGCTACATCCTCAATAAAGATCACAGGGACTTGCTTGACTATGAACAGATAACATATGTCAGGGGCTATATGTATTTATGTATATGCATATACACTTACATGAGTATATATACATATACACATATCTGTGAATGTATGTACAGTCATCCCTTGGCATCCGTGGGGGATTGGTTTCAGGACCCTGCAGATACAAACCCTGTGGTTGCTCAAGTCCCTTATATATAATGTTGCAGTATTTGCACATAGGCTATAGGGTATGCCTACAAATCACCTCATTTACATGGATTCAGCATAGTGCTTGACGAGTGGTAAATTCAAGTTTTGCTTTTTGAAACTTCCTGGGATTTTTTTTCCGAATATTTCCTACCCACAGTTGGTTGAATTTGCAGATAAGAAAACCATGGATAAGGAAAGCCAACTGTATATCTCAGTTCCCTCTATAAGAAATTAAGCAATGTCTATAATACTTTTGAAACCCTGAAGCCAGCAAAGGAGGTCTAAATTTAGGGTTTCTTTCTTTCCCTAGTATATTACTTAGGTAAGGCAAATAATGCTATACATAGTGTTCCTCAAAAAATACCAGCACTTTTGCCAACCAGTAGTACAACCTCTCCCAGGTACCAGAGTCTGGCACCCTCTCAGGAAAATGCCAAGTGGCCAAGTCCTGTTAGTGTGTGTGGCAGTGAGGAAACGTTCACAAACAGTGAAGGCGGAAGGCAGGAAAGTATCCTATGGAACATTAAATATTAGTTTGGAGGCCACTCGTCAAAAGACAAACACTAAATTTTATCTTATGGGCAATATTTCCATTAGAAATTCTAATCTCCAGGATAAAGTACTTCTACTCCTTAAAACAAACAAACAAACAAACAACCCCTACACTCAGTATTCATGGAAGTAGAAGCCTGTCTTGTTGCCATATCCAGCTAATGGTGAGTTCTCTAGGCTAATTTGGGGGGGTGCACGGGAGAGCTGGCTGGGAACACCACAGAGTAGGGCAATCAAACAATTGCTTTGTCCAAGGGCCAGACTCAAAATAAGGACAAGAGATATTGAGGGGAAGAGCACCTGAAATAAACCAGGCTAGCAGTCTCTCCTTAACTTCAGTTACAGCAAGGGCAAGAATCATGTACCAACACATGCCTTTTCTAATGTCATCAGGTTCCTCTCCATGGTATGGAGGTCTTCTGGTTCTTTCTTTCCTAACCTTTGTATCTCCATCAATGACAAGGCATTTTCCTCTTAATGTGCAACCAATCATCATTCAAGAGAGGCACAAATGTAACTGTCTAGAATATACAGACAGATGATGAAAGGGGCTGATCACCTAATACTGAAGCCAGAGTAAAATTAAACACATCAACACGACCCAGAAAGCTTCCAGGGCCAACCACAAACTGTCTCCTTCAATCTGCAGATAGGTTGGTTTTTCTTTTTTTCTTTAACCGAGTCTCCCAATTTGGGATAACCACACTGAAGCTTTTAAATGCATGTGCAGGGGACCAGCTGAAAATCGTAGCCATTTAATCTATGTGTGTTTAAATGGGGCCTACTTTTAATCTATCTACCTTTGTAGGGCAAAAAGGGAGCTTGGAAGTCTGTAGCTTAGCGCTTGTCATCATCACTTTACTCAAGTCAAGGTAATTAGGCCCATGACTGTTAAAAATTTATCTCAAAGCTCCTGTCCTGTGCACATCAATCACAGTCACAGATAAAAACAAACAGAATTTTTGAAGATTCTTTAATCCCCAACCATGGCGAGGTGTGAGGACAGCCGAGAAATCATGGCGACAGGGACAGCCGCTGTCCGAGGGGGCAGCTGCGTCTGAGACCTGTTTTCGGACAGGGCACGGAACCAACCAGTGGTACTCTTCTCTCCAAATCTCCCTCCATCTTTATATCTGTCCATTCACCACATTTCGGTCCAACAAACTGTTTTTCCTCCTTTGAAAGGTTTACAGAGAGAGCAAGAGGGACTAAAGACAAGCGAGGGAGCGAACCCTGGGATTTGCTGCAACACGTAATGCTGGAAAACGTGTAGCTGTTTACTACTAGCGCCCGGGAGACACGGCGCGCAGAGCGCAGCAGAGCTCAGCCCTCGGGGCCAACCCCGCCTCCCCCACCGCCTCGGGCGCGTTCGGGCTTGGGGGCGACGCGCCACCGGCCCTCCCCAAAGCGCCCGCGGGGCCCGGAGGCTCCCCGCGCGCCAGCCCCCAGGACATCAGCGCGGTCTCCCCGTGGTTCCCCCGCCCACCCCGCGCGCTGCCAGTCCCAAATTACCTTGGAGGCCCGGGTTGTCGTCTCTGGCCCGGATCTTTCGGATTTTGACGGGGCGCCCGCTCAGAGTCGAGAGAATTAGACGCTGGCGCAAGAAGTTGCAGCCCGCGTAGCTGAGGGAGTGCGCCTGAGTCGCCATGTGCGCCCTCTGCGCAAGGCGTGGGCGGCCGGTGCGCGGCTACTTCAGACAGGCGCGGGGTTGCAACCCGGGTGGCGGTGGCGACAGCGGCGGTGGCGACCGGGATTCCCTCGCTCGGCCCCGCAGCCCCCGCGTGTCCACGTGGTTTGGAACAGGAAGACGGAGAAACGAGACACCGGGTCAGAGGGGAGCAGGGCGGAGCTGGTGACCGCCTCCCCGCCTCCCGGCCTCCCCACCGGGCTGAGGGCGGCCCCGTACCGGGACACACTGCTATTGGCCCGCGCTCGATCAGGGCGGTGCCCGCGCCGCGTCGCCATTGACCCGCTCTGGAGCTGGGCGGAGCCTGGGCCGCTTTGCCATTGGTCCGCGCTGGAGTTGGGCGGTGCCGGAGGCCCGGCAACAGAGAGCCGCTTGGGGAGTGTGGGTTGGGGGCGGCCTGGGAGCCGAGGCGTGGGAGCTCTCCCGCCCCCGCAGTCTGCGCGTTGTGTCTCTCTCCGAAAAGGAGTGAAGGGAGGCCACGGATTCGGGTGCAGTGCCTCCTACATGCCCGCTACTTCGCTTCACTACTTACTGGCAACCACTGGGATGTGGATGGTACTATCTCCCCCGCCTTTTTCTTAACAGAGAAGTAAACACGATTGGCGCGTTTACCCTGTTGCAGACTCCGTTCTAAGGGTACTGCTGGCGTTCCCCTCGCTCCCTCTTGTAACCTGCGAGGCACTGCCATTCCCACCTTACGTGGGGAAGGACTCGAGGAACATTGCAAAGCTGACAGTGGCAGCATGCGCTGGGACTCCAGTCTTCGGACACTAGGCCATTGCTTATTTTTATTGTGAGGCACCAAGCTTTGCCCCTTTCACATCGGCTTCTTCCCCTATATTCATAGCGCCAAGTCAGGTCCTCCCATCTCACGTACCTCACAATGGGCTGTTGTAGTAACTTATACACAAATACACACCCACACTGCTTTTCCCTCTTTCCTGTCCTTTTCTAATCTTGCACTCCGAAATCTCACCAAAGATCGGATTATGTCAGGCCACTATTCAAACCTGCAATGATGCGCAGTTAACTGTCAACTGACCACAGATTTAGGAGTCCAATATCATCATAACATGGGTTTGCAGCCATTCTTGGACAACGTCACCAGATCATGACTTCCAGAACACGCTGCGGGGCGAGGGAGTCTAGAAAGTGTGGGAGCTTGAGTAAGAATAAGGAGAGTAGCTAGCCTTATGAGGATAAATCTCAGTTATACAGGTTTGAAGAACTAACCGGAAGGTCTGAGCTCCTGTAGGGTAACAGGTTATTAGAGGTGCAGGTACAATTTAACAGAATTAGCCCTGAAGTCCATTGAGGAAGGGAGGTAATCCATGCCAATTATCGCCATTTCTTCAGACTGCCTTTTAAGAAGTTGACAGAGGGGTGATGTGGGAATGTTGAAAATTCCAGGACCTCTGGGGGCCACCATTGAATCCTGCTGGGGGGAATGCCAAAGCAAGAAGAAGAGCCATCCCACCAGGAGAGGATTTTTTTTTTAAATCTCATTTTAATTATTCAAACACCTTTAAAAAAAAACAAAACTAATATCCTCTGTAGCAAAGCCTGTCAGTGCTTGGTTCATATCCCTTCAGCTGGCTATTTTCAGTGCAAGTCTGCTTAATTTTTCATTAGCAGTACCTATATCCCTTTAAGAGTTTTTCCCACTGCATGAAATTTAGCAGGATGAACATACTGAGGAATTAATGCTCTCCACCCTCCTTCCTCTCCCCCTCCCCCTCCCCTAGTCCTTAACCAATGACTGATGGGAGCTGATGTATAAGGATCCCTGTTCCCTCAACCCTTGGCTGAGACATTTCTGAGATTCTACAGTGTTTCCCCAGGGTTCCCCAGAGGTTTTAGCTCCAGTTGCTCACATGAATAACTTACTTGATTAAGTACCTTTTATTGACTTCCTTCTCTTCCCTGTATCCTCCCCAGCTCTCCTCTGATAATTTCTGGGATTAACTCGGTCTTCTTCTGGGAGCCCAAAATAAGTCCTGATTTTTTAAATTTGAGAACTGAGATTCAGAGAGAATAAATGACCTGCTTAAAGTGACACCTCTTATAAATGGCAAAACAAAAATAAAAAGTCGATCTCCCTCTTTCTTCTCTCTCCTTCCTTTCCCTCTCCCTCTATCTCTATGTTGCTCATTCTCTCTCTTGGGTCATATATCTTTGGAATCCTGAACCTCCAAGAAAAAGTCTGCTTATCATGCAGCTGCCATGTCACAGAGACCACACAAAGAGAGAGAGCAAGCTTTTCCAGCTGACAGCTAGCATGAACAACCAGACATGGGAGTAGCAAGCCTTCAGATGACTCCAGTCCCTAGCCAGCCTCTGACCAGTCTGTGGAGCCACCCTAGTTGATGCCAAATGAGCACAGATGAGCTGTCCTAACTGAGCCCTGCCCAAATTGTATATTACTGATCTAAATAAGTGATTGTTACTGTTTTAAGCTATGGGGTTGGGGGTAGTTTGTTACACAGTATAACAGAAACTACATAACCCTGAACTCCTTTCCCTGCATTATTCTGTATTAGCAAGCCAAAAGAAACATCTTGCATGAGATTTAGAAGGCAAAAGTGAAGTCACAGCTACATCTTTTATGTTCAAAAGGCTCTCTTGTAGCTCACATACTTATCTGATGCTGATCCTATTGGCATAGGGTAGCAGCCAGGCCCATAGCTCCTCCCACTCCCAAACCTACTTTAGCACCTCCAACTGCTGGATCAGCTATGCATTTATCCCTATGACAAAGAACACCATCTTCTGCTGGCCATTCACATCATTGAAGTTGGAGGCTTAGAGGCCGTGATAGACATGAAGGTTCCAGCTCATCCTGCTGACTTTGGGCTCCATCACCAGGCATAAAGACAACAGCCTCACAGACTATGAAACCAGCCCCCACAGTTGCATATGGTCAAATCCCTATAATACACCTCTAGTTAGTGGCTCTTCTTGTTCAAATAAACCTTGACAGGTGCAGAAGTCATTATTGAAAGCCAACTGAGATTATCACTCTATGCTAAAGGCTTTCTGTACATGATCTCATTTAGTCCTCAAGCCAACTAGTTCAAAACTTGATTATGAGTACATAGGGATTTTTAAATATAACTGTTTCTACTTTTGTTTATATTTATAATTATCCATTACACATTTTTAATCTGCTCATAATCTTTTATAGTAGATGATAAATGATATATACCTTGCCTTGTAATCACTTCAATAGATATTTCCATTTTAATAAGAATAAAAGTACACTTGGCTCAGCAACAGGGCATTGGATTTAGGGGCCAGAGTAGAAATTGATTCTTCCCAGTCCATAGAGAAAGATTCTCAATGCCCCACTTTTACTGACTCTTGGAGACTTATTGATTGTGATATTTTATTTGTTTTTCTATAATTGTTATCAGTAAAAACACTGATAAAATTTGAAAAAGATTGTGTGCTTGTTTCAGAGCCTTTAAGAGAGGGCCAAGATGAGGAACCTGTCTTGTTTTACAAACAACCACAAATATCTTCACTGACGCCCTGGCCAGTTTGGTTCAGCGGTTGGAGCATCGGCCCACGGACCAGAGAGTCCCTGGTTCGGTTCCCACTAAGGACACGTACCTCGGCTGTAATTTGTCCCCAGCCTCAGTTGGGTCATGTGGGTGGCAACCACCCAATGTGTCTCTCTCACATCAATGTTTCTCTGTCTCTCTTCTTCCCTCTCTCCTTCCCACTCTATCTGAAGATAAATGCAAAAATGTCCTCAGGTAAGGATAAATATATATATAAATATAAATATGTGTGTGTGTGTGTGTGTGTGTGTGTGTATCTTCACTGACTGTGAGAGTGAAAGAAAAGTAGACAATCAGCAGGTGATAAACACTCAGAGCAGAATTTTTAGGGCACCAGTTGCCAACCTTAAAGCCATCGTATCGTAGTTATGAAACACTATCATTTATAATTATGAAATTTCAAATGTGAATTGAAGCCTAATACACAAATGCACCATTGTTACATTAATGTTACATTTCTGATTTTTGGTACTGCCTTAAGTTCCCATAGTTTATTAACTGTTTCCATCAAATCACACTCACCAGTCATCAAATCACATGTTCCAATATTTGATTTAGAACCATCTGTATTACAACTGACTGTTTTAAAATACTTAACCATGAAAAGAAAGTTATTGATCCATTGAAAATCAAAGGGTATCCAAATGTCCATTAACAGATGAATGTATACACAACATAGAGTATATCCATACAGTGGAATACTATTTGGCAATAAAAAGAAATAAAGCCTCGCCCTGGCCGGTTTGGCTCAGTGGTTAGAGCGTCGACCTGCGGTCCGGAGAGACCCGGGTTCAGTTCCCGCTAAGGGCACGTACTTCGGTTGCAGTTTGTCCCTGGCCCTGGTTGATCGTGCGGGTGGCAGCCACTCGATGTGTCCCTTCACGTCGATGTTTCTCTCTCTCTCTCCCTCCCACTCTATCTGTACAAAAAAATGGAGAAATATCCTCGGGTGAGGATAAAAAAAAAAAAGAAGAAAGAAATGAAGCCTTGATACATGTTACACCATAAATGAACCTTTGAAACATTATGTTAAGTGAAAGAAGTAATCCAAAAATATCCACATATTGCATGATTCCATTTATATGAAGTGTCTAAAATATGCAAATCTATAGAGACAGAAAGTAGATTAGGTGGAGTCAAAGCTGGTCATTAGAAAATCCAGACTCCTGTTCCACCAACTTAGCAAACCCAGCACAAGAAGCCACCTCTTTCCCGACAGCACCAGTAGATCTGGGGTTGAGCTCTCATTGGGTCATGTACCCATTTCTGAACCAATGGTAGTAGTCTGGGAGAATATGCACTCTGATTGGCCAAACCTGTGTCACGTACTCACCTCCTTTGTGGAGAAATTAGTGTTCATGCCTCTCAAACTACAAGAATGGAGCATGAGAGAGAAGTGGCTCTCCTAAGGAAAAATAAAGTTTTATTAATTATTACAAGAGATAACAGGGAGGAAAAATGGCGGCGGAGTGAACAGAAGCTACACAGACCGTCTCCCAGAACCAAACTGGAATTACAACTATAACACAGACAAATTGATGGGAAGAAGCAAC